CACCCGTCCGCGCCGTTCCTCCTCCTCCGCCCCCCCCCGCCCGGGAGAAAAACGAGCAGGGCCCAGCCACTGTCGGGCGCGCTCGGAAACGGGGGGGGGGGGAGGGCGGGGGCGGGGCAGCGAGACAGGTCACCGATAGATTCAGCGAGAAATTACACCGACCCAGCGCGACATTATCTCCTCCCGCAGGCGAGGCCTTTGGGGGTGGGGGCGTCGAAGGCGGTGGCGGCGCCGGGTGCGTGCGCGCGTGCGTGAGTGCGTGTCCCGGCGCGGGCAGGGGGGCGACAAGCCGTCCCACATCTGTGCCTGGGCATCGCCCCCAGGCCCGGAGTGCGGCCTGCTGGGGCGAGCAGGCAAGGAGCGGGAGCAGGCGAGAGACAGCCGGCCGGTCTCGGCGCACGGGGACCCTGTTGACCGGCCAGGCGCGTCCGGCAGCCGGTCGACAGATGCTGGGGGGTGGTGGGCGGGGGCGCGGCCCGGCTCGTTAGTGTCTTTGCACCTGCCCTGCTCTGTGGCTACCTCGCCCTATCGCCAGGGGGCCGGGGGACGGAAGGGGGCAGGCGGCTGCGGTCTTCCGGACAGCCGGAACCGGTACTCTGAAGAACCGGCGCCAAGCGGGGGCGCTGGTCCGGCGGGGCGTCGCCCCGGGGCGACGCCCTGGCACGTTGGGGATCGGCGAAGATCCACCCAACGCAGAGGGCGGGGTGCGCGGGGGAACAAACGGGCGCCCTGCTCCCTTGGCCTCGAACAGGGGGGGCCAATCGCGGGCAGGGGACCAGCGGCGAAAAAAAGGCCCGCGGGCCGGGGGACGTGCAGCGAACCGAGCCGCCCGCAGGCGCCGCCACGCTAGTCGCGAGAGCGCAGGGGCCGGCAAGGGGCCCGCTCTGTCTCTCGGCCAGGCTGGCAGGTATGTGTGGGGGTAAACGTGCCAGGGGGGGGGGGGGGGGGGGATGGGCGGGGGCGGGACGATCACGGCAGCCCGCCCGGCGGCAAAGGCGCGCCAGGAGTGCTCGCATGCTCCCGGGTGCTGTGACAGACGAGGCCCCTCTGCCCGGCAGACACGCCGGCCCAGGCATGACGGGCCTTGTAGGGGCCACTGGCATGACCGAA